GTAACCTCTGACATGACACACATACTAAAAGGACCCACAAGAGAATAAATTTGATAAAACAGGGCTGGTACAATTACTTTGTCAAGGTAAAGCATCGTTATGGTTTAGAACCTGGCTAAAAGACAACAAAGAGCAGGAATAAATCGTTTGTTTTAAAATGGCAAAAGTTAATAATGAGATTTGTGCTTGGATGGGTTAGGTTTTAATATATTTAAGCTAGCAGGTGAGACCTCTCATTGACCGGGCAAAGTCATTTTACATAGATTACACTTACAGGAAAGTTCAAGAAATTAAATATATGTAATAGAATTTGTATTAATTTGCTTGAAAAAGGGAAGTAAAAGAACAGTTTTAAATTTGTAGAATTTCAACTTCAAACATCATTCATTTTATTTAATAATTACCATGCATAATAAAGCTTCCATTATTCTTTCAGTAACTAATTGGAATTATTTTGTGATTTCTAACAGTAAAAATGTTCTTTGCACTAAAATGATAGTTGAATAGATGACTCTATTTTAATTTTGTTAGCAAGTATTTTTGAGCTCTAATCATAATAGTCATGACTTTTTTTCTGATGAAAAACAAAAATAATTATTTAAACCTTTCACCCAGTAGATTCCTGTGTAAAAAGTAGTGCATTCCACTAATTTAAGTGATAGGATTGTTTATGCAAAATTTGGTATCTGTAGTTAATCCGGAAGTATGACACAAACAAATCCACAAACAAATTCTTCAAAATATATAATAGATGAATTGGGAAGGTTGGGGCGTGCGTGCGTGCACGTATGCGCGCACCAATCACAAAAATCTACACCAGTTAGGCTGAAGAAGAATGAGGATTTTCACAGTGATTTACCAAAGCTAGGTGACTGGACAACCCACTAGAAAATGAAATGCATTACCTTGTATTTATTCGGAGATCAAAGCCAAAACAAATGCTTCTCTCTGAGGAGAAATTTAAGTGTGTGACTGTTTAATACAGACAGAAGACTATAAAGGCACATGAGACCAGGGTATATAAAATAATGAATGGTGTAGAGAAGAGAAACTTGATACTCTTATTTTCCCTTTCATATAATACAAAGCCAAGAAGATATCAAGTGAAGTTTAAAGGCATCCAATTTAAAACAAAAAAAATGTTTTCTGTAAAATTCCAAATTCGTCTCTGTCTTTACAGCAGAATATAATTGAATGTATTGTTTTGCCAGATTAAAATAAGAAAACAATACATTTATATTTAAAGGAAATTCATGGTTACGGTAAGTATGCTCTAAGTGGGATTTAAAAACCCTTTGTGCTTCAACATTTAGGCCAAACAGTAAAGGCATGTCTATATTGCATTGTAAACCCAGGTCTTTGACGCTGATCCCACAACTGTGCCAGTATTGCACGCACATTGCACCTGCAGAATTTCTGACTCTGTTCTGTGCAATGAGCTGCATTCTAACTCCACGATGACAGGAGTTGGACTGACGTTTCAGGGGTTCTTGGTCTCTGACTGTGACCTACACTCTTTGAAGGAAGGGTCTTGGGTCCTAGTCCTGAATGCTTGCTGGCCTGATTCACACTGTTTAGTATGTGGACAGAAGTGGGGTTTGGAATCAAACCTAAAGCAGAGCCCAAGCTAAGTGTGTAGTGTAGATATGCCCTTGGTGATGGAATTAGGAAGACAATTCTCTTATGAGAGAGTTGATTTTTAGCTGTCCATTTTGGGATGTCTTGTACCTTCCTCTGAAGCAGCTGGTACTGACTGCTGTGAGAGAGAGAACAGATGGACCGCTGGTCTGATCCGATACTGCGTTTCATATATTCTGGGGTAGCAGCGCATGTTTGTGCTTGAAGGAGAGGACTGGGAATGAGGACTTAATTTCTGTGTGTCTGTGTTGTGTGTGTGCGCTTTGTGACCTTAAGCAAATCTCTTCTCCCGCCTCAGTTTCCTCTTCTATGAAATGGACGTAACTTATTCATTTTTGTAAAGCACTCTTGGGTCCAAACAGTATGCAGAAGTCTGAACCACTGTAATTAAATGTTAGCTGTGCAGAGAAATTACCCTCACTTAGGATCAGTGCCTTGTGGGGATATCAACATTCCCATCTGGCTACAGTCAAAATTCAGTGCTCCTTGTGCCTTTCAAAAATACATGTAGGTGTAGATTGACGGGGGTTCAAGAAACGATTTTGTCAGTCAGCTTGAAATAGTACATTCTGAGACCAGCCCCTTGTTGGTGGAGTGGTCCTTACAGAAGTGAGTGTTTGACAGCCAGCTTGGTTGGTGGATGGGGATAGAGGGTGTTGAGGTTTTCAGAGATCAGGCTGTAAATGAAGTTGTTCTTTTGGGTCACTCATCTGATTTACACACAAGCTGTTTCTATTGAAACACCTGGGGCCTTTTGTTCAAGCCTGTGAATAAGCTTCTTTCAGTCCCCAATTGTAATTTAGAGTCCTTGCTTCTTTGAATGGGCAGAAAGCAAGTATAGGAATGACATTTCCCCCCAATGTGTGAACCTTTGCTCTTTTAAAGACAAATGTTGATTAAAAAAAAAGGAACAGAACTCCAATGGTAATGTAAATCTTGTTACATACATGAGAACTCCTAGCTGACTGGGCTCAAAAGTCACCTAAGGAGTTGGTTATTTTCTGCTGTGTACTGAATCCTCCCAGAGCAATAATAACTGAGGTGTGGACCATTATTAACTAGTTTGCATATGTAAATAAGTACATCCTGATTAGCTGTGAGTTCTGTGAAACAGATCTTTAACATCCCCTGTAAATGTCAGTTGAAAAAAATGTTGTGGCATCAAGAGATGGTTTCTCTGCTTCCTGTGGGTCAGTCAGATCTTGATACTAGCATCAGTAAAAGTAAATGGCTGCTTATTGTAGTATGAAAAATGAGTGATTGTAGACTTGGAGAGAGAGGAGTAGCTTGGGTGGCCAGAATCTTTAGTCATGAAGGAATTAGAGAGATTCTGTTGGGTGGGGCACTTGGACAGCTCTGTAATTAGTATGTTTTAAATCTCTAGAATACGTACTTACGAGAAACACCCATGGCTAGGCTTTTGGCTTTGTAGCCATGCATTTTTTATAATTAAATGTTTATATTCCACTTAGCAGAGCATCTTGAGGTGTCAGCAATATATTAAATGTGTTTGGCAGTTCAATGCTAATTTTTAGTTTTGCATTACTGGGGACACAATATCGTGGTAGCTGATCTCCTGGCTGCTATTAGTGAGCAGCAGGCTCCATGAAAGCGGACACTGACAAATAAAAATTAGTTTTAAATTAATACATTATTTAAAATGTCAAATACTTAAAACAAAATAGAGATGTGCCTTTTGCTCCTGTTCATTTTTAGACTGGCTTTGTACAGTTGCCTGGACATGATGATAAGTGCTCTATAGATAATAACAATAGGTTTTGGTTTTCTTTCTTTCTTTTTTGCATTGGGATTTAGAATTCCTCTGTAGGTGGGAGCGAGTATTGCTGGTAGGTTAAAACAGCAGACGGAGAATTGTGACTTGAGTTTCTATTGCTGTGATACCTCGTCCATAATTCCTGCGCCTGACAATAAAATAGGTGACACTTTAACTTCAAACCCCCCTGTGAACTAGGAATGTTTATAAAGTGTATAGATTCTTGAATTTTAGGTTATTTATACAGTGTAGAATTTAGGTATAAAATTGAGATGAGAGGATTGTAGGGTAATCTAAACTTCTAAAAACCATTTTTCCCTAGGTCAAATTCTCCAGTGAATTTGGAAAATATTTTTCTTTTTGGAGTGGAAGTGTAAATTGGAGTAAAACATCTCATGTGACATGGTGTAAACTGGTGATGGGGTTAATTCGAGTGTGGTTTTCAGTCTGGTAGCTAATTATGAATAGAGGAGGCTGTCTTTTTCCTGCCCATTTCTAGAGTGCTCACATGGCTCCCACATATTCAATTTAATGCAGGACTTTTCACTCCTCCCAGAGCAGTGAGAAATAATGGCTCAAAAGGCAGCTGCCATTTTGCACCATTACAGCTGTCCCTTCCACTCAAATTGTCTCTCATCCCCCTGCTTCTTAGAAAAAAGGCTTAATATGGTACGAGAGAGTAGAGATGAAGACTACAATGGTGTGAGGTTTCATGTAACTAATCTGTCATATCCTACTGTGTTTGTCACTAGCTGCCCATTTGAAATGCGTTGGCATTACGCCACCTTGCCTGTGGTACAACAAACAGCAATGTTTATGGCACAAAAGTTCTGTAACTGATAAAAATAAGGTTGCCGTCAAAATGCAAGTCCATATTTTTAACCTTCAATGCTAGTGATTTAACAGCTCTAGATACCAGAATGGAATAGTATTTAAATAATACTATTTTCCTTTTTTGAGGGGTTGATTGCCTCTTTTAATTTTGTTTATGATCCATTTGGAAAGTGGAGAATCAGTTTGCTCTGGTAATTACAGTTTAGTCAATGAATAGCAGAGCAAGAAGAAACAGAAAACTTCCAAACAGGAGTTGAGTTTTTATTGCCCTTGGTCTGCAGGATCTTCTCCCCTCTTTCCCCACTCACTCTGGATGCAGGGGGTGGGATGGGAGTGCATGGAACAAAATCTAGCAAATCCTTTCTCTTTCTCTGGCACGATCCAACGTGAATTTGCCATTCATTTTTCTGCTTACCTTGCAGAATCTTTCACTCCACGGTGTATTTGAGAGTTGGCTATGCCTGGAGGGAGACAGAACTGATTAAATAACTTTGCTTAGCACAGTATATACAAACACTGATACAGAAAGGTGGTTAAATAATTAATTTGTTGGACCATAAACTCTTTTTTTACTTTTTTTTTGCTCCTGTGTCATCTAAGTATTTTCTCAGGGGACAAATTGATCAGTAGCATGTTCCTTGAAGCTGTTTCAGCCTTAAAGGCCAGCTGCAACTCAGCTAAGCCGTCAGAGTTCCTGTAATCTGTGCCATCCTGTCTCATTCAGTCCCATCTCATAGTTGTCCTTTCTCTGCAGTGCTCTATGCCCAGATCTCTGTGGCTGGGCTGCTCCAGCCTGGCGGACAGCATGCCCTCGCTGCGATGCCTGTATAACCCAGGGACTGGCGCACTCACAGCCTTCCAGGTACTTTCTCTCTCTACCTCTGGCTCTCTCTCTTTTGTTGTTCATGTGTGCATGTCTGCTTCTTGCTTTCTCTTGCTCGCTTACATCCATTAATTCTGCTTCGAACTGTGTGCTTTCCCATGCCATTCAAAACTCATGCAGTCATTAAACTCATCACATGTAGATTCTGAGTATATCAGTCCGGGGCATTTTCATTGCATTGTTTTTAATATCATTTTGCTTGAATTGGCCTGCTACCATCAACTTTGCCATTGGTTCTCAGGTTTATCAAAAGCATGCGGCTGAAGTTTAACAGGTATAACTGACAGATAATATTCTTCATACAGTCTCTGATCGGCGCCTGCGTACAGACCGTCCTTGCTGTAAGTCCAAGATACATTCCAAAAAACTTAGACTTACAGTGAAACACCTTAAAGCGGGGAATTTTCTTCCCGCAGCTGACTTCCATTTGTGCAGATTGGGGTTTTTTGGGGTTTTTTTTGCATGACTTAAGAGTGGGGAACGGGAGGACTTATAGCGCATCAGTTCCTAAAAACATCAGTGACTTTAGTGTGGAACGGATGTATACCGGGGCGACTTATAGTGGGGATGCCCTGTGTACCCAGTTGCCTTAATTTGTCTGTCAAAATGTTTCTTAAAACTATTGGAAGACTTTGCAATGTGCTGGTGCAGAGATGCTAACAACTGATGCCCTGAATTGGTATTTATTTTGTTAGATTTAATAATGGCAGCCCAGGAGCTTAAGTTACAGAAAATTAGAACACAGAAAAGTTAATCAGATGCTGCACAAAGCAAGTGCCGTTTTGCATTGTGCTCTGAAGTTGATAGATTGTGACTGAGGTGTCAAGAGGACTAATTGCAAGGATGGGAAAGGGTCTGCTACTAGATATGGAGTATTCGGACTTCAGTTCTGATAGCAAGCCCATCCCATCCAATCTTAATTGTCTTGATAGAGAGTATAGAGCGAAGGCCACATCCCAGACTACTCAGGTCTTCCAAATCATTGCCAACAACACGAACTGCAGCGAGAGAGGCAGTGCGGAACGAGTGCCCAGGTGCCGCCTTCGTGGAAGCTGAGAACTGATTCTGTACTCACTGAAGCTTCTGAATAGTGGTAGAAATGTAGCCATGTTAGTCTGGTGTAGCTGGAACAAAAAACAGGGCTATGTAGCACTTTAAAGACTAACAAGATGGTTTATTAGGTGATGAGCTTTCGTGGGCCAGACCCACTTCCTCAGATCAAATTGTGGAAGAAAATTGGTTATATGATTGTGACCAATCATATTATATGACCAATTCATGTTATATGAATTTTCTTCCACTATTTGATCTGAGGAAGTGGGTCTGGCCCATGAAAGCTCATCACCTAAGAAACCATCTTGTTAGTCTTTAAAAGTGCTACATAGTCCTGTTTTTTGTTGAAGCTTAGGTATTTCAGGAGTGGCTCAATGGTCTAAGTGACTGCTTCAAGGCTTGCACTAGAAAGATATAGCTGCAGTATGTGGTCTCAGGATAATGGTAGCCAATGGGACTTTTCACTAGCAGCCTCTGGGAATCTAAGCGCAATTCCTGAGCCAGCCTGCCTTTTAACAAGAGAAGGGCATGCAAGAACCCTTTTGTTTTCTTGTGGGCCTGGTTTTCTGCTCCCAGGACTGGCGGGACTAGGGAGTGGTATGGAGAGATGCTCTCAGTCCCAGAGGAGGCTTAAATGTCTTACGTCATTCTGCAGCAACCCTTCCAGCTGACCTAGCACTAGTATTGATGGGCTCTGGAAGGTGTCCTGTCAGCCCTCCTTGGCAGAGGCAAATTCTTTGCAGAGCTTTCAGTGAGGGAGGGGAAGAGAGCATTATATCCTTCTAAGAGGACTCTGGAGGCACAGGCAGTAGTTAGATTCCTACTTCTAATTCTGATTTGCATAATTTGACTAAATCAGATGGGCTTCTTTTTGGGTTTGTACTCGGGAAATAAATACCCAGTATGTTTAAGCTCTGTTTAAGGGCAGAACCCTGATAGTGTGTGGGGTGCAATTGCATACTCAAAGCTGATATCCCTCTTTCTGCTTAATCTATTTCTGATAGCATGGACTTCTGGTTTTAGAAATATCAGACCTTTACACTCTCCCTCTCTCACACACACACACACACACTCACTCACACACACACACACACACCCTCCCACCCACCCCCCTACCTGTCTGAAGCGGAGCAAACCACCTGTTTGGCAGGCACACTGCGCTTTCGGACTAGAAGTGCTGATGAACATCTCCATTTGAAAGTACATTGTAGATTTGGGTTTTAGCTACACTCAACTCCTGGGTGAAAGTTCTAAGTCTATGTAATGACCATGGGGGATAGGGAACTCTGCTCACAGGCCATCTGAAACACCTCTCCAGCAGCACAGTACCCCATGTCCCATGCTGGGTCATTGGCTCTGTATTAAGTGAGGGGAGAAACTCTGAACACCCAGCAACCGTTTCTGCAGCATTTGCATTGTCCTTATCGCAATCAGGTTTTGAATAGGTTTGACCTTTATTAGCTTGCAAGGTCTGAGATTTCTTCCTTAGGTGGTATGGCTGCTTTCTACATCGTTGCAGTAATCTGAGTGGATACTGTAGGGTTGGGGTGACTAGGATATTAAGAAATGTTTCCACTTGTTTTTTGTATGTGCTATACAGATTTTCCAATGTAGCAATTTAAGACCGGGTTTTTGTAGCCCAGCAAATTTGCTACTATTGAGCTACATTTTTGTTTTTTGTAGCAAGCTTGAAGAAACTGGAGAAGAATATCAATTTTCTTTGCTTGTGGCAAGAAAGAGGGTGCCATCTGGAAGGCCACTTAGTCAGTGCTGAATTTGTCTAGTTATTTACATGCTTTGCCATGAGATGCTGACAGAAATGGCAAACCAGGCACTTTCTGAATAGTGCAGCTAACAACCTGCTGACACCTCATGGGAAGAATTGGCAAGTATTCGAGTTAGAGAATTCTCTTGTTAGGTCAGGTGCCATCCAAGTTTCTCCTTCTGTGTGTTACTATCAGAAACATTTGTTTGAAAACAGGCTCTTACAGTCCCTCAGTTCACTTTGGCAGTGCTTTGTGACGTCACAACAGGAAACCGCGTCAAAGCTGGAGTTCTGACTTTGTGGGGGAGTAAGCATCAGGAGCCATGTATCTCTCTAGTGCCTCCATCTAAGAATATCCCAGTGTGCTTACAAAGTAGGGTCGACCAGCTCTTGATGGATAGCAACAAAAAACTGGTACATGACATGCTGTGTAGCAGCTGAGGGGAGGGGGCAAATATAGACTTTTAGCAGAAGATGACAAAAGGACCGATCCCTTATTCTTACAGGTAAAAGCACCATCAGGACTTTAATGTCCATGAAGAACATGCCATTCCAAATTGTTGGCAAATTTTAGCCCACTGTGACCCACCTAAATAACAGAAATCTTATTTGCATGCAGATGCTCTCAACAATAAAAAGTCATATGGAGAGTTGCCTCTGAAACAGAATATTTTTAAGTTTTCAGAATGAACACCAGAAGGTGTATTTATATTTCAGTGAATCTTTTTCATTTTGAAGAAAATGGTTTACTTCCTCAGGTAAAGTACTTGTCAGAAAAGGAAGATCAGAAATTCAGAAGAATCAGTATATGTCTGATTTAAAAACATAGCTGCCTGTATACCCTTATTTACAGTTAAACGTGGTGTTAAAACACAGGGGAGTGAAAAGTGTCTCGAGACAGTCAAGGATGCAAGGTTTGAATGTGCAAAAACTGAGTTTTCTTGCTGGATTATTTGGGTAACATGTTTGTCGGTAATAGAATTTAGCACTCATTTAGAGCACTCTGTAGATCTCCAAATACTTCAGAAAGGCAAGTAAAGTGTGATTATTCCCATTGAACAGGAGACGAAACTGAGAAGCACTGAGTTTAGATGACTTGACCAAGCTCATTCATTAAGTCCATGGCGGAGGACACGTCGTGTTTTTCTTTTTGTCTGTTTGACCCCATAGGAGTGCCACATCTGATATAAATGGGAAACTCGTTGGGGGCAGGGGCCCTATCATTGTTGTCAGGTGCCTGGAACAATTTTGGATGCTCAAAAAGAAAAGTAAACAAAATAAAGTCAGGAGTAGCACTGTCAGTTGTAGGCTGCCAGTTCTGAGGGCCCATAGTATGGTGACAGGTGGCACGGAGAAGAGACAGGTTAGATCGGGGTGAGGGATAGTTTGTGATGGAGGCTCACTCCAAGATTTTGGAAAGTGGTCAAGGGCTGCATTTCTCTGTGGAGGGAGTGTGGGGTTTGGGACAGAGGTTGGGTGCAGAAGGGAGCTTGGGGTAGAGAATTGGGGTGCAGGAGAGGGTGTGGGGGCTGAGTGAAGTAGGGGGTTGTGACCTGGGGCAAAAGGTTGGGGTGTAGGGTCTGGGAGGGAGAAGGGGTTCAGGAGTGAATTTTAACCTAGGGGAGGGCTGTAGCAGGTGATGCAGGATCTGAGAGGGAATTGTGAGCTGGGGCGGGATGTGTGTGCAGAGGATTTGGGTGGTGACCTAGGGCAGGGAGTTAGGAAGAGGGAGGGGCTGGGTGCAGGAGGCAGGGGCTGAGGTGCCAGAAACAGGCTCTGGCGGGGAGTCACTGGCCCACAGCCCAACAGAGGGTCCCTGAGGCAGGTTCCGTCCCGCCGCAGCTCCAGCCACATGGGTTCCCTTTGTGTGCCACTCACGGCCACGCGTCCCTGGGGGGCCAGAGACTTCGCACACGCTCCCCTGCCTCCCAGGCCAATCATCGCCACGAACTCTCTCGCCCCCACCAGGGTCACATGGCACATAGAAGGAACCCCCAGCCCTTTTGAACAGCTGGTGGCTCCCTCTATGTGCTGTGTGCCCCAAGGGGTGGAGGCTGGGAAGAGACATTGTACACTCCCCCGCCCCCAGATCAGTTGGAGTTTGGGGTCGGGGGACCACGCAAAGTTTCTCACCCCCACCCCTTTTCCAGAGTGGGCCACA